ACTGTTATGTATGGTGGCCCCAAGGTGCAAATGCGCCTTTCCATGACAGAAAATTAAAAACATGTCTGGAAAAAAAGTGATTTAAATGAATGATATGAGAACATGGCACACCAGAGAGCAGTTGAAAGTAGCAGAAGTCATGACATGACATGAAACTTGGGCAAAATTATTTAGCAAAATTATTTTGCAAAATTATTTTAAAAACTTGGGCATCAATTTAGTGTCATCCTCACAGATGACACTAAAATTTTCAGTTTCAATTTGGGTCCAAAAAGTGAAATTATATAACAGTGACTTAAAATAAAAACCTCACACATGTCACCATATGGACAAATTTAACACATATAACACTTATTTCAAAAAAGTGGTTGTGACAAAACTGAAATTCTGACATCGTTCAGGTTAACATTGCAATTTCTGCTCTGCTTCTGATCGGGATTATTCCTCTTCTGAGCACAGACATGTCATCACAATGGACTGATATATTAACACTTACAGTCTCTCTGGGGATCTTGCTTTTGGATCCGCTCAAGCTCTCATTTGTTGCTGTTGCATAAACTGTGTTGTGTCCTCTTCATATAAGTGTGTATTGTTATATCCAGGATTTCAGTTGTTCTACAATTACATTTACAAGAGTGTTTTGTTGTTGTTGTTGTTTTCTTTTATCAAGAACATAATCCATGTCCCATCACCAAGATTCCTCCATAATAAACTACATTTCAAAACCTCACAATATTGTCATAATATTCACTTTCTGATTTTAATGGACATAAAGACATGAAGGCTTTTTTATTGTGAGGAAGAGCTTTAAAGTAACTTATCTGCTTCTAGAAAGGCCTTTTATGATTTACTAAATTTTCAAGATATTCATAAATAACTTTAAAATATGACATTTTAATCTTTAAAAATGTGATAAATATTTTTTTCCTCTGTGTATTTTTAAGGCTGAAATGTGTAAAATAAAAGATAGATAGGAATATTGCAGATTAAATAAAAATAATTTTATCCTTTTCAAAATATCAAACTCTTCCATTCTTCCAATAACTGTAATATCAGTAAAGGCATGGCAACAGGAAATGAAATATCACATACATTGATTTAACTCTCAAAATTATTTTAAAAATGCACAGCTTTTGTAAAACAATATTTTCCATGTTAGTAATCCAAATTCTATGCTCTCTTGGAAAAGTATTGTACAAAGTGAAACCTTACAAAAGCTTAATCTATCTCTATTTGTTGTGAAGAAGAATTACTGAGACATTTAAAATTTGTCTTCCTAATATATATTATTAAAAAATATAAACAACTTACTTTTTTGCTATTATGAAGTAAAACATCATTATTCAGATATTCATTAATTAGTCAACAAAAAAGGATTTCAATATGAGTGAAAAACAGAACCTTGGTAACAAAGTGTAGCCAATTTAAATTGATAAAAAGCAAGATGCACATTGTTGAAACATTTCCTTTGACACTTCAGATGAAAGCAATGAAAGCTTAATGTTTGTCAATTATGTTATTGTTGTAAATCCATTACTGCTTACCTTTCATCTTCAAAGATATAATCTCCCTTGTTATTTTCCTTTTTTCGGTCTTCCCTTTTTATCTGACCCAATATTTTATGATATTACCTTATTAATGGTGAACGCATTAGAAAGGTCATGAAAATGTACATATAAACAGCTTTATCATTCAGTTGTTTGTAACCTTTCTTTGAAAGTCCATTTGTCTTTATAAAACATATCTCTTAGATATGTGTAAATCTGTTATTACCAACTGTGATTTCAGAATTTCATAAAACAAAACAAAACAAACAAACAAACAAAAAAAAAAACAGGCCAAAACAAGGTTAGCAAAGAAATGAGGTGATAACCGATCCTCAACTCCTTCTCTCTGTGGTGTTTAGTTGAAGACATCCAGGCCCCCTGAACTCAAAAATTTGTTACAGAAAGATGCAGTTTTTTACAGATGCTGTATGCACTCTTCTGCCACAATTGATAAAAAGGTTTGGACCTCTGAGTTTAACCATGGAATCATCGATTTTCAGCTCATCTTCTTGCCACATACTACAGTCACGTCACGTTTTCCACAGGCCAATCAACAAATGCAGTCTACTGCCAATCAAATCGCTTGTGTGCAAAACCCGGTTAGGTCTAGCTTGTAGCACCCCTGAGGTGGTACCAAAAGATGGGAGAAGATGTAGGATCTGCAAATGGAGACAAATCTGACAAGAGCTCACTGGGGAAAAACCAGTAAAAGCCACGCCTGTGGAAAAGGCACTTAGTTGAGGTAAGTCACATTGCAGCTACCAGCCCCTGTGCCCAGCACCGGCTGGGAAGATGGTTCAGGTTTTGCACAAGAACATAACAGTTGAGGATTTGAACTGGCGACCCAGTCGTTACAAAATCAATTGCATCACTTTGAAAGAAAATCCTTCCCAATCTTCTGATTCACTCAAAAATAATACAAAAAAAATACATCAATAAAAATTATTTCACCACATAGGAGAAACTTGAGGAAAAGAAATACAATTGCCTACTTTGGCTCTCTTGTCAAACATTTGTACATAATGCTGTAAGTATGTCGTTCTCATTTTAAATACAACAGCATCTACACATTTTATGATGATGTTCTTTTGTTCTTTAATCGATCAAGCCATAAAAGATGAGCAAACACAGTAACCATTAAGATGAAAAGGTGTGTCTGTGGACAGTGTGAGATGGTGATGGTAAATGGATACTTTTTAAAAGCTTTGGTATTATCTTACACATTCTACTCTGACCCACTTCCTTATCCATAACTCTCAAGAATATTCACACATAAAGCACACACCCACCTGCCCAGCAGAGCCCAAAGTTGATGAGACCACAGAGAGACAAGACCGTGTCTACAAAGAGTTTAAATGACATTACAAAGATAATGCAATTCGATTATGAAAGATACTCTCAGCTGAGTCTGAAACACAGGACTCCTGTAAGAGGAGTTACAGGAGTCCTGTGGCACATAAAAGCCTTTCCCAGGATTAATCAATCTCCATAATTTTCCATCTATTTCTCCAAACAGTTCCACTTAGCTTCACTGACAACAACATCTAACACAAAGACAAGGAAGGACTGAGAGACCTGAGTTTTGTTTGTAGCTCTTTAGAAGTAGACATGGATGCAAAGCCTTCAGATTCAAACTTATCTAGGGAAACCAGCTCCCAATTTAGGTTTGGGACACACTTTTTCTACCTTCAGGCCGTGCTATGAATGTGAAAACTGTGTGTATCATAAAGAATGTCTTTTGGTCAGCTTGTTGGGTGAAGACCAAACCTTTTATTTTTTTTATTTGGTGCAGTTTGGTTTCATGCTTTTAGCAAGCGCACTATAATTTGTAAACAAAGCCACATGGGCCGCAATCATTGCGCCAATTGGACAGAAATAATAGGGGTAGGATCAAACACAGACCTGGAAAAAACAAACTTTGGAAGTCTGCCTTACTGCATTTTGGTTGTGCACATTTGTGTTGTTAACTGCAATAGCATTTTTAATGTCAAGTGCAGCTCATTCAAAACAGGTTATTTCTAATTTTGGAACTCCTTCTGGAACAAGCGCCTGCTGATTGAGCTAACATGCTCTGTGTGCCCTGGCTCACAACGAGTCAGGTATGATATCATCTTAATCAGTACATGCAGTTAGCAACACTTATTATCTCGGTTTTAATATAATGCCCAGCAACATTGGCTCACAAAGTCTTGTTGGTTCGACTCGAAGCCAGTCTGTAATCACACTGGAAACCAACTGCTCCACAGCTTGTTTAAAAGTGGAGACTTACTCAAAAACTGGGTCTTGTTGTTTTATTGTTCTGCACCAGGATTTACTTCACAACTACAGAAGAGGTCCAGACTAAGAGAGAAAACTCTGGTCCATTTAAAGAGGTCCAAGTTCTCTTCATTTGACTGCAGGAAATAAATGGGTTGGACTGTCATCACAGACACCACAACTACTATATTACTATTATATTATTTTCAGATTCTAATAGAACTGAATATTTCACTTTGTTTTTAGGAAATAATGCTGACCAAAAACCATACTTGTTGTCCAAAACAGCACATGATTTGGTTTTGTAGCAACTTTAAGATTGCATGGATGATAGCAGTTGTTGAATAAACTTTTAAGGTTGTATGGGGTGCTTGCAATATTCTACCAACATCTGACTGAGTACTAAAATTTATTGTGAATTTACGAGTTGTCTGTCCTCTTGTCTACATTTCCATCCAGTTGACCCACAGATGAAAGCAAACTTCTAACACATCGCCTCTCTTTGATGCCTTGCAGCTTCAATAACAGCATTTGTTGTTGAGAGTGCTTTTTGTGTGTATGTGTGTGTACATTATTCTGCTTGTGTGTAAACTGTGTCAACATTAGCAGTGAAGTCTCCTGTTTGTTCCACACGGTTCTTCAAGCAGCTTCAATAGATTCGGCATGTAATCTCGAGCTCACGGTTCCAACTCTTTGACCTTTATGCATGCCGCGTCTCACCTGCCCAGAAACACACAGTGATGTCTGCTGTATGCTAAATCTGCGTCTTCTTGTCTGTTAAGCTGAGCAGGTGAGAGAGAATATTCCTGCTTTGTTTTATTATTTGATCAGCGATCACTAAAAGGCGACAGCTATTGGTGTGTGTCGCAATGTGCGTCAGTGCATGTCTGTGGATGAGGGTCTGGCATATATAAGTAGGAATATGAATGTGCTTGCCTCTTCACTCTATGTGTATCTATGCAAGGGAGATGAGATTAGCAAGGAGTTCCTACACATTATAGAAGACTGTGTGCTGCTGTGGTGCCATCTTCTGGGGAAGAGGTGCAACATCTTATTAATTATACAGTGAAGAAGCAAAATGGTTAATGGTTAAGACAACACATAATTGCTAAAGGAAGAAGGTCCGGAAAGGAATATGACATTTAGAGGATGATGCAAATTAGTCTCCTGGAGTGACAAAATGAATGGGAAAAGCCATCACTAGGTAAACTGTTTATTCTTAAGCATGATGGGTAAGTGGAACCTTGCAGCATTATACAGAAAACATAAGGCAATACTGTACAACATGTAGACTGTAGCAGCTTGCAGCATATTTCAGTGCCAAAACACATGTATACAAGAAAAACCACTTTATCGCAATTGTACATACATAATATGGATGTGATGTATATCAAGCTTTGTCAATTTAAGTGTCATTCTGATAAAACTGACTCCTTGTACACAAAATTTGACTGACTTAGTGAAATTAGCATTCAGAGTGGAGGTATTAAGGATGTGTTGAGTTCTGCCTGCACTGATAAATCAGTCCTGGCTAAACATTGATCCATGCATGCAGTCACATTCAATGAATCGTAACATACGTTGCAATGAAGCTTGTTTGTCAGACTAAAAGATGTCTCTGAAAATAAGATTTAGCATGAATAAAACACACTTTTCATTGAGCCCACATTTCTGTATTAAAAAATGTTTTTTTTTTTTTTTTTTACATTTCAAATTTCCACTAAATATAAGCAGAAAATTTGGATAATTAAGAGGCAGACTTGAAAACATCTGTCTGTGTTTCACTTAATGAACTGAGTTACTAAAACTTTTCAATTAAATTCTGATTCATTAAATATGACTACATTATCTCTTTGTGCAGATGTTATTTTTCTCAATCACTACTGCAGACATGGACAAAAGAGGTATAACCAAATTGGTTCAAAATTTGAACTGCTGGAAATTGTTCAGAATGAGCCTATGAATATACATGAATGATAACTTAAAAGATAGGCACTTCTTTATTTATTTATTTTTTTTTTTACACAAAAGGGATCATATATGTACAGTCCATGGTGCTGGGATAACATTACAATGTAAGATTTTTTTTTAAATCTAACAATTATAAGACAGAAAGATGACAGAAAGTTTCCACTGTAAAAAAAAAAAAACATTTTATTTTTTCTCCTTGATACAACATTCATGTTCTCAATTTGTAGATCTATAAGACCTAAATTACACTAAGAGTGTCACAAATACACTCATTTAATAACTATTTACATAAAGGACTTGTTTTACTTAAGCCCCTCAGAAATGGATGGAGTGCCCTTAACATGTTCTACCACAGGTTGGTTTTCTAATTGGTCCAACATTTGAACCTCTGCATTTGGTATTCAATTCATTCAAGTAATACCAGGATTTGAGAATTCACATACGCACATCTACAGTGGACACATGGAAAGTCTGTCAAGGTTGACAGATCTCATATAGAATGGAAACCTGAGAAAAAGAAGTTTCAAAGAATGATAAAATAAGAATGATAAATATATTAAGGGAAAAAAGCTATACAAACTGACATGGCATTATGTGAAAGAATAATTGCCCTAAAAACCTAATTGGTTGGGCTTCGTTTGGTGGCAGCCACTGCTATTATGGACCGACAGTTAGTGACACTAACGCTGCTTTCCAGTTTGATTGGAAATCGGTACTCGAAGCTCAGTTTTACGTCAGACCCAACGTCACCCAAGGTTAGTTGGAATTTCATCATGGCGACACCCACAAACATTGTTAACAGTACCTCTAACAAACATCAAGTTTAAACGTGATTTTCCATAAGCAGACATCACTTTTAATTTGTTTAGTTTGTAGTTGCATGTGCTAAATGTGACACAGAATATAGACATGTTCTCATATGTTTGACATTTAAAATAAAAATCAGTAAAACTTTATTTGAAGGGCTGTGCATGTGATTGACATGACACTGTCATAAAGACGACATAACAACTGTCGTGAGCATGAAGGGGTCCTCAATTATGCTTATGACTGTTGTCATAAAAATACATAATGACTTTTTAAAGCAGCGTTGCATTAATAGGAGCATCAAAAATACATTAAAAGTATCAACTTTGCAATAAAAGTGTCATTATTTAACGAATGACACTTCATGACACCAGTCATTGACATTTATGAAGAAACCTTCAGGTTCATGGCAGGTGTGTGTCAGTCTTATGCAATCCCTTCAAATAAAGTGTTACCTAAACATAATTCCACAAAATCTCACTATAGCTGATGTGAGGAGGTCCATATTGAAACGTGAACTTGGTCTTGCAAGCTGTAACTGGCCAGTTTCCCAGTGGGAAATCTGACATCAGAGGGAGTTCCCATTGATTTTTCTGACTGGGAAGTCAGAATTTCCCAGTTCAAAGTAAAACATGAACACAGTCAAGTCTTTTACATCCCTTTGGATTCAAATAGCTTCTGGACTTTGAGAATGATTTTCTATTTCTGTGATTCAAACTCAGTTTTGTACCAGATTTATCCAATTACACAACTTAAATTTGTAACTCGGAAGTCCACAAAATATACCAAAAACCTTTTTAGCAATATGAGATAAGCATCTATGTTTATTTAGATTATAAATGGTTTTCACATTGAAACTTTACCATGAACGCCATTTTTCTTTCTTATTGTTGAATCAAGCTTCATCATATCTGCTGCTTAAGATATTGTTCTAAGTTCTTTGGTAACTTCCTGGATATACACTCGTAGTGATTTCGGCAGGCTGGCCACCGCTTGTCAGCTTCGGCTTTGTACAGTGTCTTGGTAATTGTAGATAATTATCATCTCTGTGGCTTATTAAAGTTTTACTTCTTCATCTGTTTCGCTGTAGGTCTGGGAATCATGTGTTACAATGTATGATATATTATTGTACTCTGTGTTGACAAGCAGGTATTGTTTAAATTATGTTTTCCTTTTTAGACATGTGGCAATAATCACATGTGGCTATGGGTAGTTAGACTTAACTTTCCAAAATATTGTGATAAATCAAAGCTAATTCATGACTTATCCAAGTGTTAACTTTCTCACAAAGGGCCAGGTTGATCTGGATGCATTTTGTCCTTTACTAAATTAATAATTTACAGATTGCTTTGTAAAATTCACTTTGGTCATCTTATCTTATATTAATAGTAGTTCCAGGAACCGAAACAGGCAAGATAAAAGGGGCAAATACTTTTTCGCAATCCTGTTTGTATTTTTTGACTGTGGTTCTGACTGACTGAAAAGCCTCTTTTTCTTATGTAATAACTGTCTTTTATCGAAACTGTTCTCCCTCTACATGGTTCAAAAATTACATGATGTTACATGTCTACGATATGAGAAGTAATACGTTTCCATCTTTGTCTTCAACCACTAGTCACTGACTCCTGCACTGAAGTCGGTATGGTATTTGCTAGTGATTTTAAAGCCATCATCACTGCAAGTACTTCTCAGACTTTCATCTTTAGCTGCAGACCCCACAGATATCTGAGTCACAGAAACCAGATGTCCTGAGTTAAAGATGTCCACTGGAGTTAAAGAAGAGAGGGTCTAGTTTTAATCTAGTCCCCTAGCAGTGATTTGTTTCTAAGCAGTTTCAGAGTTTGGGTTATATCGAAAGACTTTGTAAATCCACTGTGTGTAGAAGGGGACATTAATGAAAATGCCAGGCTGGTTGGCTCGAGCGCAGCCTCTGCCATGGACACTGATGCCAACAACAACTTTGAGATCACCATCTTGACACACAAGAGGGCCCCCATAATCTCTCTGTAAAAGAAAAAAATACATTGACTATTATTGGTTATCTGTAAGTGAGCTGTTATCACTGTTAAGCTTTCCAACAAAGGTAAATGGGAAAAAAAAGTATGCTTAAACAGTCTCAGTGACAGGCGGCACCATCATGTTCGGATCTGTTGCAAAGTCAGAAACATCAGACAGCTTTGGATAGCTGATGAAATTTGAAGCAACAGTCTCCAGCTGCTCTGTTTACAGCAGACTGAAATCTAAGCCAGTGGATTCAAAAAACATTTGTTTGAGATTTAGATCAGACTTGGCTCAGAAAGCACTGTGTTGGATCAAGACACTAAAGTTCTTGTAGATTCACATTGGGAGCAATTATTTTTTATCCAGATCTCAGTGCCTGTTCTCATTTACCAACGTGGTTGCATGACACTTTCTGACCTCAAAATAAAATGGTTAAATAACTCGCCAATAAATAATGCAATAAAAAATGATTCCAAAAACTGTTTCTCTGTTTCTGTTTATGTACCTCACACACTCCCTCGTTTCTTTTCCCCCCTGCACAGATCTTGGTGTTGGAGATATGGAAGTTCCCTCTGTGCATTTCTCTGCACCTATCATTTCCAACAATGGGCAAGTCCACTGACTTTAGGACGTCATCATGACCAGTGCCTAAAGAATGACAGAGGATCCTAATTATTGCTGGGTGATTTACAGATCAAACAGCATAATTATTTTTATGAACATTTAGGTATACCTGTCAATGGCTTATTAACTTAAGTCACAAATGTGCAAACTTCACAACAGCAACTCATTCATGCATTAGTCATGGTGTGGACAACATGCTGATGTCAGAGGAGATTGGTTAGACTGATTCAAGAGGATAGAAATACAACATGAGCTGAAATAAAAAAAAAAAACTTATACAACCAAAGTATACAAACTATCTCAATTCAATAATTTGGACAGCTCACCAAAATTATACAATAACAGATTGGTGTAACATACCTTAGTCCAATGAATCTACTTTTTTAATTTCAAAAGGTGATAGGGTAAACAAAATTACTTTTGAATCCAACAGAAAACAAAGAAATTACAAGGCTGCACCAAAAATGTATTAAAACATAAGCATATTGCCATTAACTGATGAAAAATAACATGGTGGAAGTATTAATACATTTGATAAATATGAAGATACAATTAAAATATTTGTTCTTTTTTTTAAAGGCCACTGAAAGTGGTCCCTTGACTGACTAAATGATGCAAATTAATCTTGTCTTTTTACACACAATTTATTCTCTTTTTGTGGTTGTCCTGTGCACTGTACATGCAACATCATTTGCAACAATCCCAGGAGACAGGATAAGCATGCATACAACAGCTGTGGTGTGTTAAAATAAGGATACCTTTTGTCTCTCCCCATCCATACATTTTGCATATGGTTCCCTCTGGGATGGAGCACCCAGCCACCGGCAGCTGAATTGTGTGGACATTGTCTGCAGGACGGGCGGGCCTGGACATAATTAATACGCATTATTCAGATACAACAAACAGAGATTTATGCTTAAATAAAACTGGGAATAGTTTTTTTTTTTTTCTCAAGCACCAACTTTGAGAGTCTCAGGAGGGCTAAGCTGGATCCATTGGGGCCACATATCACTTGAGCTATTCTGACTTCCTGTCTCTTGGGTCTGTCAGGAGATCCTTCTCGAAGATCAGAGACTCCCAGCCACACTCGATACTCGCTGAGGTCTGGAACACTGAAGGAGCACAAGAAAAATAACAATGTTGAGTTGAAAAACATTTCAAGTTTTAATTGGCAGTGGGTGGAAAGCAAAACAAAGCAAAGAACTTACCAGGAGGAGAAGCATTGTCTGTCAGTAAGTACCCACTCCTCTCGCACAAGGGAACCCCCACACCAATGCACCGATCTGGGAATAACACAAAAGCCAAATGTGACATTGTGGATGAAACCAAGTTATCTGGAGTCTTTTAGATTTATTATGTGATTAGCATGAACTGCATTATAAAATAAAAAACTCAAGAGCAATCCATACCTCCTCCACATATGTGTTGTCACTGGTATTCAACTAATTAAAAATAGATAAATTATGTGTTTTTTTTGTTTTGTTTTGTTTTTTTCAAAATGTTACCTTTTTTAGATACTTTTAATATCTTTTGATAGACACTTAGTTAATTTTCTTTCTGAGACAAATTCCTTGTCTTAATGAAAATAAGTTTTCAGCTTAGATGTAAAAATCACTTCAGTTAAGTGATTGTCTGGATCACTAAGTGGTGGTTTTATCTTGCCACCACTGAAGATGAGGAGGATGGTAAGGGAGATAAAACAAACTGCAAATAATTCACACACCACGCAGTAATTGTTTTAACACTTATTTTTGGAATTAGTTTAAATTGTTTGCGTGCAAAAGTTGGACTGAAAAGTGGGAAAAAAAACCCATCTAAAACAATCATTAACTAAAAAGGAAGTTTAGTTTTTCCTAATTGTGGGAGGAAAATATATAAAACTGAAATGCTTTACCCTTTCTGTATGCTGACCATCCAGCTGCCGTCTGATATGCCAACTGGAGCTCCCCCCACAATCCTGGTTCTTTTATGGACAAAACATCTCACAGGGGTTGGCTCAGCTACAAAGACTGAAAGACATGAGCACAGACATGCACACATTAAAAAAAAAAAAAAAAAAAAAAACTCATTTGTTTTTTTAACCTTTTTAGAGAATATAGACTTACAACACATGTAACTTAAATTATAAATATGAATGCAGAGTTACAGGTTAATGTTTTATTCTGACATGTTGCTTAAACAGCGACTATAAAAGGCACTTCAAAAACAACAAATGCTGAAGAAACACAGCATTATGGCTTGGCTGCTCATAGAGACACAAACACTCACCTGGTGGAATGCTGTTTTGCAAAGTATCACCTGTAGACAAGAGAGGATAGAAACATGTTGTCTTGCATTAATTACAAATACTAATAACAAGGAACAAGATGAGAACTTACAGGAATAAGTGCTGTCAGATCTGACCTGAGTATTTGTGAGCTTTACAACCCTTTTTGTGCATTTATAAAGAAAGTTGATTGGATGTTGTAAGACTTTGCCACACAGAAGAAAACTTAAGCAATTTAACAGTTTAAGGTATTTATTTGAGGGAAACAAGAGTTACACTTGTAAATTTCAGTAAATAGTTAATTCATGAAGAATAAGACAAATCTGATTTACTTGAATAGCCTGTATTCTTTCCGTTTCTTTTTTTAGTTCTACCATTTTCCTGCAGTCAAAGATTTGTTTAATACATGTCTTTGCTAGCCATTATCAGTATTTGAGTAGAGTTATATATCTTGGGTTATTTTTACTTTTTTCATCTAATGTTGTCAAATCTGACACAGCGATATTAAGGTTTCTTTCTGAGGCTTAGTGTGACAGGGAGAAAATTTGAGGTTTTAATTTGATTCCAGCATACGTAATGAGTTGTGAATATTCTCTAACATGCACTAATCTCTGAGTATTGGCAACGGGTCCACTTCAAGTTATTTTTTTACTACAATTCTTCATCTGCAAGAATGATAAACCTCAAGTTTGCCTCAGTTTTCTCATTATGTGTGAGTGCAAGAGTCATTGTTAAACTTTGATGGTATAACATGAGAACATGTTCATGCACTTACAAGGTTTTACGTTGCAGTAATCCCAGCTAATGGCAGAATTGTTGGTGAAACACCAGGGGCCATGTTTGTCCTTATCAGGATTTCTGCAGAAATTTCCTTCTAGGCCACCCATCAGCATGCCCCTCTCCCCCCTGAACAAAGAGAAAGAAAAACATTGTCTAAATTGGACATGGACAGTTTTTCTAAAGAAAACATTTTTTTTCACAGGAATATGTTGTAATTTGTGGCATCCTATTGAAAGTTTTTTTTTTTCCCAAATACAGTGAGCACTTTTATGTAACAAAGTTGCATGCCAGAAATGATTGTAAGCTCTGTGGAAGTGAACAGTGTAGGACAGATAGGTAAACAGTAGAGTAAACAGTCAGGCCACAAAAATGACCATAACTGCTCTTTGTGAGAATGTAAGGTAAAATAATGTTATTACAGTATTTTTTTATTTATTTCTTTATATGACACCTGTTGTCTTTATATCATGTTAAATCAAGAGCTGCTCTCTCCAGTTGACCCTCCCACATATTTACCTTTGATAATTAGCTTTAGTTGATGAAGTTTAAGTGACATGACTGATGATGTTGTCAATATAACATTTTGACAGCTACATTACTGTAAAGTACATAAATCCCCCAGGGTGAAATAAAGACAAACTAAATGAAAAAAAAAAGTGGAACTCACACAACCAATCTAGAAATTGCTCATACAAAGCAGGCCAATATTGTGAGATGCATGTCTGGAAGAAAGTTTTGGCACACTAAATCTTCCAATATTTATATTTTATGCTGACATATTCAACTCCTGAGTGTCCTCTTGAAAGAGTTTTTAAAACCAAAACCAAAATTCTTTCTTATTCCAAATTTAACAAAAGCATTAAAACAGCACAGCACAAGAGAATGGTTTTGAAATAAAGCAAGCATGAGTTCCAAATCTGAGTTTTATTTCTCTCACTGTGAGTTCCTGACCATGACCTTTGACCCACAGACAGGATTCCAGTCAATGGATCTGAGTAGCTTTGAAGTTCCTACATAGGGGCCCTGGGGCCAAATGTGAGGACTGAAGTGTATATCCCTCAAGTTATCCCTAGGAGTCATTCTTGTTGAGTTAGGTCATCTTTGTGGGGAAACAAAACTGGTTGCTCATAGATGCTGAAGAAGCTAGTCACGGTAGCCAATTTCTCCTCCTGGAATCAAAAACCGCACCATGGTGGGCTAACAACAGAATGACTTATGTAAAGGTCAACATAAGTTTCCTATCTCAGGTCAACATGCTTAAGGTCTGCACAGCTGGTTCTTGGAAATATTGGAAAATGTTTTTAACAAAAAGCATGTCATTTTCAAAGTTTTGATATCACAGAACTGTTAAAAATCCTATAAATGTTACAAAGCTTCTGATGGTTAATGTCCCTAAAAATTTGTGTTACGTATGTGATTTATTGGCAGAGCAGGTCTGTGTTTTACATCATAAAGTTTGGAAAAGTTATTAGGCAGGAAAGGAGCAGCAATTCAATGGACTGACCTGTTGCTGTGGTCTCTCCAGGGAGCGCAGGGTAGGTTTGATCTAGTCCTTGACTGCGCTCCTTGGTAATTCTCTCCAAAACCTAAGAAGCAGTCTGAGTTTGACCACAAAAGTGGGGAAAAATGAGAAAGGAAATTCAGATATTTATTTTATATGTAAAACATACAAAGCAAATTGTAAACAGAAACAAGAGAAACAAATTGCTAATGGGATGCCTTACTAAGTATTCATAGTTCTTTAATCGTTTTTATCTTTTTTTGAAGTTCCAGCCACTAAATGAATGTATGTTAGACTAACAAAAAGTAGCAAATCACTGTGAAGTGGAGCTAGAAATGCATGGTTTTTAAAGGTGGGACATGCAAATAATTTCTTTTAATTTGGTACCATGAGAAATTTAGTTGAAAGTGGGCAGAGCGAATAGAAAAATGAAATTTGCTGGCCTGCATATAAAACAACTACCGCCCCAGTGGGACAGGAAGTGGAAAAAGCAATTTCCTGTGCAGATTTGTTCTATAAGATAGACTTCATACAAAGTTGGATGGAGTTAAATACACAGAATGAGAAGATCTGTTGTAGGAGGCAAAAGACTTAAGAATGGGACAGAGGTTCACATTCCAACAGTAAATGAACCCAAAACATTAATCTATGGCAGGACTTGAAAGGGCAGATCTGAAAAAAATAGATTTTAGTCATGTCTGTCAAATCTCCCGTTTTGGCCAGGATAGTACTTTATTTTGCCCCTCTTTGCTCCCATGTAAGTATTTTCCCTAAAAATTCCCGTTCATAATTATTGTAGTAACTATGTCGTAACTTAAAACTTTGTAGTAACTTTCACATCCCCAATTGTATGGTAGCATAGGATAGCAGAATATTTCCCCTGTTCTCCAATCTAAATCTTGACAGGTAGGATTTTGATGGGTTGGGTGCGTTGCATGCCATATAAGTAACTAAGAATTTGAAAACTTTGTAACTGTTTTCTTACAACTTATGTGGTGACAAACCGTGGAGGGTATGAATATTTTTTCAAGGCACTTTGTTTCAGAGTTGCTACTGATGTAATGCAATGTATTTGCAGAATTATACACATTTGGTGTGAAACTTTACACTTCAACAGTAAACTATAGAAACTACAGGAAAAATATGAAAAATTGTTCCTAACAAATCCTACCCTACCAAAAATATATAGTTTTCACATTAAACTATAAAAACTCCTTTGCTTTAGCTATCATGGCTGGATCTAGAACACAGAGATGGGAACACAAAATAAGTCATCCTCTATGACTCCTTGGAGAAACATTGGACATAAATAAGTTATTAAGCTGCCTGTCATCCTACATTTCATTTCTATATGGGAATGTATTCAACCCCCGAGGGTAAACCACAAAACAACCTCAGAGTCAGTTTTTATGCAAAGCCACAGAAGCTAAAAATTATTCCTGAAAATCCCTTGAGAAATTGAAATGTGTGTAATCAACCATAGATCTACATCTTTCCCTTTCAGAATCTCTTGGTATTGCAGAAGGAATCTGAACCAAGACTAATACCCCAACTTCATCCTTTCCCTGTCCAGTGAGACCAGACCATCCCTTACTGCTGTCAGATTTTATTTATGTGAGATGTGGTGGTCAGTCCTTCCCACAGTCCTGTAAGATTACAATTTTCCACAGGGATGCAGAGGACCTTGGTCACAAACCAATATGTGTGGTAGAGGGTCTCATATGAATTCTGCAGTGTGTAAAATGTAAAAATGACCAAATATTCTTCTGTTTTAGGCTAAAGAAACATGCTTTGTCCTTGCTGCTTTCAGCATCAAATAAAGCTGTCAAGTTTCTCACCACTGACAGGACTGTTCTGGACGCCGCACTGAGGGATGTGGGTGCAGAACATTGTGCGTACTCTTGGGTCTGTAGTGAAACACCAGGGGAATTCTTGACCATCTGGATTTCGACAATAGTTCTCTTTCAAGTCCCTAGAAAATAGCGAGGAAAAAAGGCGTTGTGTTATCTTCTCAGACGTGAGTGCACACTGGTGAGTAAGTGCGTGGAAGACTTTCTCATGCAATTTTTCACTCACTTGCAAGGGTAAGCTTCAGGTAGGAATGTGTGGTTATGTGGATACTGAGAATCCCAGCGTTGGCAGGCGAGTCCGCTGGGCATCGTGTTTTCTGTGCCTCTGTAACCCTCTCCTCTGCCCTCGTAACACTCGGTTGTCTCCACCTCAGGACTTTCAGGAGGGGTTTCTGTAAAAGAGTTTAAAATATTAGGAACATCAAACTGATTTGTTGAATCGCATGCTGATAAATACACAGTAACAAGAATAAGAAGAGAATGATATTATTTGGACTGGCTGGTGGGAACTCATCGTAATCCACTTAAAACTATATCCCCCTTGATGTGTCAGTCTGTTTCTGTAACTGATACTTCTATGCTCAAAAAACATGTTCAATCTTCCTCAGTTCTTTACCATTTTTTATGCTTTAAACCCATTCTTCTGAATCTGTGGTGCAAGTTCCAGCAGTTGTTCTGTTTTATTGTGTCTTTCATGTTTTCTATTGTTTTTAGTATTGGTTGCTTGCATTTTTGTGCTGTTGTATTTGTGTGGAGCCCTTTGAAATTATATATTTTTTAAAATTGGTATTCTATAATATTTAATGCAGGCAAAGTTATCTACTTTTAAAAAGGAATGACTCAAGCTTAAGTATGCAAGTACGATTCTGGATCCTAATAATCGTTGGATCTAATAAGTGAAACAAATTGCATCGTTAAAATGCATTTTATGTTCACAAGCAGGACAACACTTGTGATTCCAAAGTTGAGCCAGAATACAAAAAGTAAAAAAGGGGTAAGAGTGGTCCAATGTTGTGCTTTACTTGTTACTGTTCGTAACAAGACGCCCACTTGTTCTATTTTCCAAGGATCAAGATGTTGACAGCTAACATACAAACCACAGCTTTCAACTGGTACTCCACAAACCAGGTTGTGACAGCACAATGTTTGGCTTGGTTTTGACATCACATCCCAAAAATCAGTCTTTATTTACATCTGCTGGCCATGCTCGTCTGTCCTGAAGCAGTTTCTGTCAATGGTCTTTGAAACACATGGAAAAAATTAAAAGGAAATCCATAAGGAGACACATGCACAATTCGTAGTAGCGCGTCTGCTTCTTGCTTTGTGAAGAGTCTACATAATAAGTGAAAGATTGGTGTAAATTTATCCAGAGCAGGAAAGTGGCTGACGACAACAGATTTCACTACCAAGAGAACAAATGCATAAATAACAAAGACGCACAGAATAAAATCATGTCCCATCACCTGCACTGGAAATCTTAATTATTTTTGAAGGATTTAATTCTACTCCATCACAAATCAATTTTCCTTATTCTTGGGCATATACAAGCAGAGTGAAACACAGTTGATAACATTGACCACTGTTCCACAATAAAAATAGAATGTGTGTGTTTACGGTCAGTATCAACGTGCATTAACATTTTAAAATCTTACATTATCAACACCAAAGAAAACCCACCAAAAAAAACCATCAAATCCCATCATAGCATTCCGATGTTTTAAAATGCTTCAAATATGTAGGCCAAAGTGTCAGCATCCTTTTTCTGAATTTCTGTAATATCTGACATTATAAAATTCTTATAAAATGATTAAAAAATAAAAATATTACACTTGAACAAGGACTACTCTTCAGTGCATGGTCCCCATTAAGTATCTTCATACAGTTATTTCTCTCAAGCAAAGACCATCTTTGCACATAATTTCACATGTAGCAGATAATGCAGACAGGTACTCTGAGTCAATAATTGTCATCACTGCAGATTGGTTGTTAACATGAAGGTTGCAAACATTTTCGTTTTGTATATGCAAATTATTATGTTTTTAAGCTGAGATCAACCAGTGTTTCTAGATTTAGAACAGGAGAAATATTTGGTTAGTGATCGTGCTTCATTAGATATTTAGCAGCAATTTCATTTCAGCAGAACAGCCCCCTCTATGGGCCTCTTTTGAGAGAAGATCTGGAAAAACAAAGCAGAAATCCCTTTTTTTTTATCTATTCACAGAAGGGTCAGAGGCAAGCCAGAAGTTCATTAGCCTGTACATGAGTACATGCAAAAACATATTATAAACACTGAATCTCAAAGTTTTTTTTTATTGTGTCTAAAATAGATATGTGCCAGTTTAACAGTAAACAAAAGAAGGGGCCTTGTGAGTGGACCACTTCTCCATTTCTGTGTCTCTCGCTTTGTCCTCACAGCCTTGTTTTGATTAAGACTAACTGGGTCGTAAACTTGGGTGGTTACCAAAAAACTCCCATATCAAAGAGCAAGCCGGAGAGATAGAGAGTGAGGGGTAGAAGACAGTTTTTAGAGGGGAGAAAACAAGGGAAACACTGAATCATTGGGTCCATATGGACCATTGCCATCAAGCAACCATGGTGCCAGGATTGTGGATGTCTCTTGCAGGCCAGCCAGTCTCTTAAAAAAATATGGAGAAACTTGAAAACATGTAATGTCTTTGGTTCTGTCCTAATCAACACTTTGTAAAACCATCTCTCATTACTTTTACAGTTGCAAGTCTTTTTGGTTTATGTTTCTATCAGCTTTGCACATCTGTAAACTTAAATTTATGCCCATTCGTCTTTGCAAAATAGCTTAAGATCAATCAGACTGGAGAGTATCTCTGAGTATAGGATTTGCAGTAGATCTGGAATTTAGAACCACTTGGTCATTCTAAGTTAAGTAGAATGACCAATTGCATATTTTAAACTAAGCAATTGGTATTTAACTCCAGTTAGAAGCTTTCTTGTTTAACTACACCTAAATGAAATGACTAATGCATTACTCGGTCTCTGCAAAACCTGGAAACAGGTGAAGGAGATTATGGTTTGTTCCCATAAGCTCGTCAGCTTCTCTGCTGAAGAGATGCCTCCACTAATGTTTAACAGCATTAGTTGTGAAGACATCAATCAAACCTTTTATATCAAGTGTATGAGGTGTAATAAAAACACAGGTATAAACCCTGTGTTTTGTCTACATGTGTTGCTGACTGTGGACCAGTAACTGAGCTCTGTGCAGCCTGCCTACCAAGAGCTGGCAGAGAAAAATAAACTGCAGGCGATGGTGCTGTGAAAAATAAACATTTTGTATACTAAAGAAGGGGGGCCAGCTCATAAGTTTTTGTGTATGTGTGTTCCCTAACATCAAGGAAGATTCATGTCAATATGAGGTAAAACAAATCTTACAGGAAGTTGAACATTGTGGAAAATTCAGTCAGGCATGACTGACAGCAACAGGCCTCCATTCAACACAAACACACCTAGTTTATATCACAGGCAAATTTTCACTTGACATGCATAACTAGGGACTCTTTAACCACACACAAACAAACATGCACTCATGCTTACCACAAACTTTGATGTTGCAGTACTCCCAATGTGTATTTGGGTCTGTGGTAAAGCACCATGGTCTATGACGTCCATCGGGGTTCCTACAGTAGTTATCATGCAGGCCTTTGTCAGGGTATCTAACATAAAAATGAGACACCTTAGAGTGTACAAAAAGCCCAAAGTTTACAATAAAAGTTCCACATTTCTCCTGCGTGCACAGTGGAATAATTTGAGAGAGTATATAGTACTACATGAAGCTGACAAATAGATGACTAGTTGTGAGCAGACACCATCTGTTTATGTGTTTAGAGCTCAGGGAAATGAGGAGGATAATAAGTTGCCACACTACAGATGTTTAGCAGTCAGTCATCCCAACTCCCACATCCCTTCAGGCCCGTTGCCTTCAGGCAAGCAGCACCATGCTACGGTTCCTCTCATTTCATTAACGGCATGAGCAGCCTGGGGCCCGGTTTGTACAAATAGTGTGATGATTAAGGACGTGTTAACGAGTCTCAGCTAATCCAGACCACCTGCCATCCAACTAGCTGGAACAGCCTTGACAAAACCTTGCAAAAGCTGACAGGGACATATGTCAAGACAAGCTGAAAAGATGTTAGGAATACTTACACAAATTGAAATATATAGCTTTCCTAATGGGGATTTCCCAGCATACCACAGTTAAAAAACACAGATCTATACTAGATTCCCATCACTTCCCTTAGGGAAAATGTTTTCATTGGCTAACTCAAAATCACTAATCTCCAGAGTGAGTCTCATGAATCAGCTACAGAAAAATTATGTCTGTTGAAAACATATTGCATGCACATCAGTGCACTAATGACAAAGCATATGGTTTGTGAGATGTACTTCATGTGATTTTAAGTGTGACAGGTTTACCTTGAGGGGTGGTATGTATGCTTGTGAGGTTCATTCAGGTCCCATCGTTGACATTCTTTCCCACTTTCTGTATAGTCCATTGGTCCTCTGTAATCTTCCCCATTACAGGTAATACACTCAACTGCACAGTAAAGAAAGATAAATATAGCATAAGGTTTGTTATATGGCAGCTTCAATAAGTTATTTTTTTGAAAAGTTTTGCTAAGACTTTGTCACATCCATTGATGAATAGAAGAAGCCAGCCTTGAGCCATCTAACTTTAATGAATATGTTCTGAAACAACAAATAGCCTCAGGTCATTTTGCCTTTTTGGCAAAATAGTGACCACTTTCCTTCCAAGATTTTGCACCATTTTTTCATATTCTTGCATGAATTTCTCACCTGTAAATCTAACCATTTTGCAACTAATTTCCATAAGAATGTATTCAATTGTATTTCTGTATTTTTATGAGTTACAAAAAGAAATGTGTGATTGTTCAAACTGTTTGAATGTATGTACAACTGAACATGTTAATTCAGTGGTACATAATTGTCGAGAAAACTCAATTACACTCGATTGCCATTGAATTTGTTTTTCATCCCTGTTTAGCCAGTTCATTCTTAGGAAATATAACAAGTTAAAACCACAGAGACGTTTTACTGTGTTTCTACTGGCAAGATCTTATTAACTGTAGTCAAATAACCATCTCCTTGCAACCGTTTACAAGCAGAATGTTAAAGAAATGCTTGAAACAGCAAGTTGCCAAAGTGTGTCCAAAATGTCCCCCATATTAGTGGTATGGTTGGTACATGACGTTAAGTTCTCAAGCACTGCATATTCGTTAAACTGTTAACAAAATGATGGATTGGCATTCAGCAAAGTGATTTGTGTGGTGTAACTGTCCACCGGATGAAGCAGTGATTACATGGCATTGAATTTGCTCTATGGTTTTAGGAAACCAGACTGGTTCAGAAGCCATGAAGAATTGGGTCAAACAACCCCACTGGTTGAGCACTGGAACCAATTCGGTGGGAAAAACCCAAAACAGTTCGTAAATTTTCCAGTATTTGCTCAACTAAATAATGCCCTTGTTGGTTCGCTCAACTATGACTCATATTTTTGCTCATCTGAAACCAAAATAACAAGCGAAAAACAGTGGAAATGAGGTTCACTGGAAGTAAGGATGATTCGAGGCAATGAGAGGAAATCTGCATCAGTCATAATGAAAAGGAAGAACCTCTGTTTGGAGCGAAGCTGAAATACGTGGCAGAAATATTTATGTAGAAAATTAGTGACAAGATACCTTTTGTGAAACATATACTCTCGACACAGAGTGTATATGTGACAACACTTTTAGAGCTTAACATGTTTTAGATGGAACAAATTTGTTTGTTTTCTGATACCTCTTGTTTTCCTTCTCAGAAATCCTTAATGATGGCCAAATAGGCGCACTGTAAGCATTATTTGGTGTCATGTAAGATGTTTACAAGTCAAATGCATTCCACACACAAAAAAAACTCTACAAAAAACAGGACCATCTCGTTAACAGGTCTCAATTATGCTGTTTTAGTTATGTTAATAGATATTAAATGCACCTTGGCACAAACTGTGTCAGATTAATGAAAACATCAAAGTTTAATGAAGAGAGGCCACCACTGGTTAAATGGTGAGTGGGACACATTGCATAGTGTAAACAACCAAAAGGATGCCTATTAAAAGCAGATGTTTATGAGCCCAGTCCTGACATGACACAGCACATTTATTGCTTCTGGATGCTGGTATTTTTCAGCTTGTGCATGCCATGTTTGTATTTGCATGTGTGCTCTCTATTAGCACACATGCTAATAGGAACCCTTCAAATCTTTACAATAACACAACAAAACCTTTTCTATCAAAATTTAGTTGGATTATATGTTTCCTGTAACTTCTTGTGTTCTTCTTCAGACTGATGTTCAAACCCTTTGACAGCATGAATCCCTTAGGATTAGATAACAGCAGTCATTATCATCCACTCCTTCAGGAAGACCCAGCAGTAACATTTTGTGATATAACATTAAGGCTGAGAGTGTTTTGCTTTCATCACAACCTCATGTTTGCCACAAGGACAGGCTTAATGGCTGGATATTTATCTAGATGAAACAACAGAGGCATTAATTTCCTCTAATATTTCATGACTTGTTCCTTTGGGGCTCAAACCGCTCATAAAATCAGAGCCTGATGAAACAAGAGAGGACATTAAAAAGTGAACCCCACACCTGGAAACAGCTGCAGCCTGCCTTGGTAAATAAACCCCGTGGACTGACATGTATTTAAGAACAGAGGTAAAATAGACCACAGTCAGAGGAAGCACAGCCTTCTCCAAATATTTGATTGCCCAATATGCTATACTTCATTTCAGATGGTCAAGCTTCAATAACAATTGTAATTGTGTAGTAATTTCCAATGCGGTATGCTTATTACTTCAACATGAATGTCCTCATGCAGAGACGTATATGTGTGCACAGTCTACCTTGTGAACACTGTGGTATGCCACACTCCTGGTGTCGGAGGTCTGGCCTGGGGTCAGTGGTGAAGCACCACGGACCAACAGTGGAGTTGTCTGGGTTGCGGCAATAATTCTCTATTAGGTCCTTTTTCCTGTACCGCTTAGACATGAATCTGTTGGAACAAGAGCAGCAGCAAAACGACATCTCACAACCAGAGCAAAGTGAAGAAACAAAAACCAGAAGTTTAATGTCAGCTTTTACTAATCATAGAATGACAAGCAAATTGTCCTTTACAAGCCAGCTGCTGCTTGTTGTAAATTGCCTGCAACAAGAATAAACATCTTTTACAGTCACTGGTTGCAAAGCTGGAGAATTGACTTATCCGTTCCATACAATTGGTAATTAGAGAAAACATGTTAATATGTAGCAGCGGTGATATTTTTCCGTCAAGGCCTGTTCTTAATGTAGAATAAACATGCTGACAAATGACTCATATCTTTGACATCAGGCGAGCACATGGCTGTGGTCACTAGTGGGGATGATGGACACGGCAAGTGTAATTTTTACGTCGAGCTGTATTTTTCCACTATGATGAAATGATAAACTATGAAATGTTCATCTTTTGGTGGCCGATAAGAACAGAGGCAGAAAGTTAAAACCTGCAGCTGATAAAAGTCCTGTTGGTTTTTCTCTCTGTGTGTGTGCGTGTGTGTGCGTGTGCGTGTTTCTGTGTGTCAGAGTTCCCTATGCCTACAAGCTGACTGATAAAAACATACAAAGTTCCTTGGTGTAATTACCTGATTTGTAGAGGCATTATACATAGTTTGACAAAGGAGGTTCACTGAAAGTACAAACATTCACTGGCAGCTTTGCTATATGTGAGTTAAACAGCTCACAACAAAGCCCATTCAGTATTCTTGACACTACTATGTAAGGATATGACACTTTACATTTCTTTAGGATATTAGAAAATACTCATATTTTTTCTCTAAATGGTATTTTTTATACCCTATTCATAAAAAAATGCAATACCTTAATTGAATTAGGTAAAAATAAGATAAGAAAGGGAGAAAAGGCAGGATAACTTGAGCAGATAAGCCCTGTATTGAGCTCACAATGATGATCTGCTGGCCAACATCAGAAACGCTGTAAACATTGCTTTACTTTATTATTGGTAATGACTGTTATCACTGTGTTATTCTAGCAAATTCCTCTGTGGGAAAAGATTACAAGAGTTACTTCAAATTGAAATCTTTGAAAGCTTTTGATGAGCTTTAATTATGTTACGTGAACGCAGACCATATACTATAGCTTAGAAGCTTATTGTATTATTTTTGTGTTTGTTTTCAAAATCTTTTAGTTCTTTTCTATCTTATGCATGTCTAAATTACTGTCAAAGGTTCACAACATTGCTAACTTAAATTTTCAGTATCCTCAGGACATTTGGGCTTTTCTTTTTCTTATCTTAAAAACAATAGTTGAATTTGAGGCATTTCTCCATCATCAATGACCATCAATGTATGTATGTATGTATGTATGTATGTATGTATGTATGTATGTATGTATGTATGTATGTATGGATGGATGGATGGATGGATGGAGGGACGGACGGACGGACGGACGGACGGACGGACGGACGGATGGACGGATGGACGGACGGATGGATGAATGGATGGGTGGAAGGAAGGAAGGAATGATGGGAGAAAGGAAGGAAGGAAGGAAGTACAGATGGATGATAAGACATTTAATGATACAAAAAACATCCTGGTAATAGAAATGTTTTACCACACACTGTTCTTTTTCCATGCTCTTCCAGACTGAATCGGGACTTACACTTTAATCTTGTTGCTCTTTGTGATCAACTCTTGCTGTCCATTTAGTTCACTTCTGTTGTTTGATGCATTCCCCAAAGAAATTGCATGCAGCAAGTGAATTTGCTGAAAATCCCTCTTATCTTAGAAGTTGCAAATTAGATAAGATCCTAATTTCCGTACGAGACACACATGCAAAATAAACACACATCTCGAAAAACAGACTGGCCATTGCAGGAAATGGTGTGTGACTCAGTGAAGTGTTACAATGAGGTCACCTCTGATGAATGACTGCTCCCTGGAGCATAATCAGCCACTAATACATCAAATCCACACATGGATACAGACTAGCCTCTAGCTACCAGCTAATTGCTGCTCTTACTGGCCAACACTAACATTAACAGCAGCTTATAACACAATGCTGTTTGACACTGAGGTGAAAAGAACGTTGCATGTCTTACTTGTGCTCATGAGGTATTGGGGAGGCCCAGGCTTGGCACAGGATCCCACTGACTGTCACTGACCTCCGCCCTCTGTAGCTCTGACCTGTCCCCACAATGCATTCCCTTATGTAGTCTGCAGTGAAGCAAAATGAGAGAAGGGGGAAATGTGATGAGTTAACAACCTGATCACAATTTTTATAGACAAAGCCTGAGTAACTAATGAAGAAAACAGAGAGAGGGAGTTGTAATGCTGGGCTTAACAAGAATGTGAAATTGCCAGAAGAAGAATCTGTTTTCCCAATCAGGGCCATGTGGGTTCACACTGGCTGCAGAGCTAGAATGTTCACTTTTGGTGGTCATCTTGACTAAATTGAAGACAGGGATTTCCAGTGTTTATAAGAACACCACTTTGTAACAGAGAGTAAAGCATGACATATAGCAGAGCTGTAAAAAAGACAATTACCCTGGACACTCCCTTGTTTCTCCCCCTGGGGAATTCTATGATTACTAAAAATAAACCACTTTGACCACTAAAAACAATAGACAAATCAATTCCAGATATAATTGATACATTAACGCAACACAAACACAGGACAGGAAAGTTATGGGGATAACTTTCCTGACCTGATCGACAGGAAGATCAGGTGAGATATGGTCTGGTCCTAATATCAGTTGGCAAAAAGGAAAAGAAAACAGAAAAGGGCACCTTTCTTTTGATAGAGGTCATAGTAGATGTTCTGATGGCTTTGAACTCCTGGTGAATTTCTGTCAAATGAAAGCCACTGACATCTTCTGTTCTGATGATCATAGAGGAAAGCTCTGGGGAAGGAAAATAGACAGAGAAAACTGAAGACAAATGACGATTTAATACAATCTGTAATTTCTTGAAGCAAAAAGCATTGACAAGTGTTTTAGTAGTTAAAATGATGCCACTCTGGTTAGGAAGTCACATCATCAATCCCTTGGTTGTTGCTTTTTTTTTTCAACTGACATCCGTTTCCATGAGTTCAATTTGCATATTTGAAAAAATAAAAAGGACAGGGGAATCGTTGTTGACAAACCTGCAGTTGAATGGGAGTCTTTTTCCACGACTGCACATTTTTGCACATTTGGTTAAGCTCAGTTTCCTGCTTTTGGTCAGATGTGAGGAATCGGGAGACACAACAGCCAGTCGGGTACCTTCGGATTTCTGATAGTCTTGGAGAGCATTTCGCCTGCCCCCTATTGCACAATCACAAAACATGATCATGTAGTTGCAGCAATACAGAGTGTGAAAGAACTTTTTAAGGCAAAACAGACACTAAGGCATAATTAACTTTAATGAGGAGCAAGAATAGGCAGGACTTGCTTTTGATTTACTAATGTGTTCTGCAATCAGTTATTCGCTGAGAAGAATTGTGTTGCTATTCGTTCATTTTAAATAAAATTAATCTCCTATTATTATTATTATTATTCAACATCATTCAGAAAGTTGGTGCAGATGACCTGTTAATACAAACACTCACACAAGAACAACCAAAAGTGAGTCAGGCTGCTCTAAGTGTGCCAATTTGCCTTGGGTCTTTTACATCTCTGTAAAAATCAGAGAACCACTTGAAAAGAAAACTCTGGTCTCAAATCCCAAAACCACATCACCCTTCCCCTCCTTCCTACACGTGCTGTTTCTGTCTGCAAGCACTTCAATTGACTTAATATTTTTTCTTCTTTTACCAATGCAGAGAAAAAAAGTTTACCAATCTTTAAACATCAAGCATGAAGAGTGTTGCTTTCAGATTCATCCTATGAATTAAGTTCATAGGATGAATGAAGAATCAGAGGCTTGATGTAAGTCACTTAAAGTTATGATTTTACTCTGCTGAATGAAACTTTGAGAATCAGTCTGCGAGAAAGAACAAAGTGGACTACAGACAGATTAAAATGGTTTTAGTTGGTTACATTGTGTGACATTACGTTATTTGGTCACTTTGTCAGAGCTTTTTGGAACAAGTTAGGAGGTCCTTTTGCAGTATGAGATGAAACGCCACAGCCGCATATGTTTCATTTATCATTTGGGTTTATGCTTAAAAGTTCTTGCAAGGTGAAATAGATACTATGGATAGCAAATGCACCTTCAGATACAGCTTTTACAACAAAATAGTGTAAACATTTCTATTTTTAATTGATTATTATTATTAGCAGATTAAATTAATACAAAGGTAGGCTATATGAATAAAACTGCTAATGGCTATTCGTGTAGCGCCAGCCAGTGCAGTGAAACACGAGTGCGGCCAGTCATTCACGTTTTCTAAAGTGTTACTAAACAGTTTACGGGGGCAAAGACAAGAAAAAAAAAAAAAAAGAACTTACCGCAGCAAGAAACGACTGCGAGTCCAACAACGAGCCTGTAAATCCACATCGCCTTCACTACACAGCAACGTGCAGAGAAAACAAATGGAAACGCTGCCTGCTGTGCGTTCTGACAGACACCAAGAGACTTTGCTTCCACCACTGCACAAATGATGCGTCTCCCCTCTCGGTACTTATTCGCCTCCCCCCTCTCCCTCCATCCTCCTCCTCTGCCCGTTTGCTTGCGCGCGAGAGTTGCGCATCTGTCTTCTTCTTGCTCTACGTGTTATTTATTTTTCATTTCGTTTTTTTTTTTTCTGGAGTTTATCTCTCTGCAACCAGTGAATATGTAATTGGCCAATAATTAAAGGGGAATGCGAATGTTCAAACCTGTGTGGTGTTGGATGTGTCTTGTTTACGGCGTGAATTTGTTCAAAAAAACAAATTAAGCAGATTACTGGAAGGCCTTTTCTTTTGTTAATGCTAAGAATAATGCCAAAACTTGAACGCGAATTCTGGACAGTCTTATTCTATAAATTAGGACGTACGTCCTGATCAGAATAAGTAACTTACTGTGTAAACAAAATGAATCCTTGTGAGTGGAAACTTTGTCTTTCTCAAAGATGTGATTCTGACTCCACAGCTGTCCCTCAGCTGGTTGGCAACTGAAGGGCAGCTGTCTCATTTGTTGACTTACACATAGCAGATGAGATATGATGTGTCTTTAATGTAGCAAATATTAAAGACCTATTGGGTCTGGTTGGGGTAGTTGGTGAGTCGATATTACTGGATTCTATAAAATGTGGCTTAAAGCTGAGATGCTGATGTTTGGATAAGTGAAAATATATATTCTCTGCATATAAATCTATAAATACTCTGGTTTCTCTCAGTTCTGTAAAGATACAAGAAATAAAGCGAATTTTTCTCTTTTAATGGGCAATAATTAAATTTTACTAATTGGTGCTGTCAGAGCCATGGTTTAAAACTTTAGCTCCTATGTTTTATAAAATATTTAATCCTGTTCTACAAAACAAAAACGGCCAACTGTATTGTATTTTTTTCTGCCTGTCGCCCATAGTTACGCCTATATGTTTTGAAATATTATACGTTTAGAAATATACTCATGGAAAAGACTAAGACAACAACTTTGTACTCCATGAAAGAGCATGTGGCGCTGTCTTGGACCACAGAGCAGAAAGGATTCAAAGCAGCATGTTTTGAAATCATATTGTTCAATAGATTGAGGTTTTAAAAAAATATGCCATTTAACAAAGTTAGTTACCAAAGTTCACACAATAAAAACATTTGTTTATGTAACTTGATATTAGCCTTTTACATGCTAATATCAAGCTATTTTTAATTGTGTTTGACATTTACTTTGACCAAACAGCTGCAGTAGTCTATCTAGAAAGTCAATATTTTATTGAGTTCAGAACTTATCAATATCTATTTGTTTTCCAATAAAAACTCTTAGATATATGACTTTTTTTTAATTTTCTATCATTCATTCTGAACTACATATTGAGGGAGTTGTTAATTGTGTATCTAGTATGAGTGTGTACATTCTTGTGTGTGTCTTGTGATTCTGTGATGGACTGACAATTTGTCCAAGGTGTCCCCTACCTGTCACTATGAAAATCCAGTCCCATCAATTAAGCAAATTGAAACTGTCACTTGGGGTCATAAGCCATTGCTTCAGTAATTGTTTTCAACTCACTTTGTGAGAGTTTTAATGTCAACCATCAGCCACGCTAACCATTATTTTTGAATAGTAAATCTTGGTGAATCCAAACCAATCACCCAACCCTGTTTTGTTATACCAACCCTGGTGTGGATGTGTTATTAAAACAACCTAAATTGGCTAGATTTTAACAACTATGTTAGACACAGATATTGTTTAAATTGCCTAGTTTCTAAAGTGAGGTACCATGGACTCAGTCTTTTTCCTCACCCATCCTGTTTTGTCAATCTTTCCTCTACCATGTTCACTTATCAACAGAGTGTTGTTAGTATAACAAATATTGGAAGCCACTTGTCAGCAATGAGAAACTCAATAGGCTGGCTAGTTGTTTGTGCTGCTCTGTCTTAGATAAGATGAACTCAGTGGTAAAGAAGAGGGGGTGGATGGATGAGTGCCATCTCTGTTTCCACTGATGACAGCATGAGATAGCATGAAACTTTATGGCAGTGCATTCAAGCCACTCTGATGTTGCACTCATCCAGCTTTTAAAGGATATTGATTAGGTATCAAGTTAGTCTAAAGATTTACAGGAACGTGGAAATACCTGGCTATTTTGTAACAATCACGTCATGTGTGCGAAACAAATCATAGCGGTAGCTGGATGAATATGTAGGAGGAAACAGACTCCATCTCTACGTTCTGTCTGGTTTGGTGAGTAATGGTCCTGTGAAGTCCTGCGGGAACTGCAGAGTTCCTTGCAATAATAAAGAATCATCGATGAGTCAGACACTTTCACTGAAGCAAAACATGTTTTCTGTTTTTAGCATGTTTTCACTTTTCTTCCTAAGGAATAAAAAGTATAAAATGTACATTAAATGCATCTATTCATACTTTCCAGTATACATAAACACATTCACAAACACATAACAAGTAGCATATGAGTGAATAACCTTCACCAGTCTGAGCCTGCGACAAAAAAAGTCCTCACTGCTACAATCTCATTACTGACTCTCCTTGCAAGAATCCAGTGGGTGTTTTCACTGCGTCTGCGAGACTTCTGCTAGGAGATGGAAATTAGAGAAACCCAGAAGCCCTCTGCCTCGCTCCACGCGAGTGCCGGCCCGTCACCATAGGAGACTCCTCACATCTGTGGCTAGTTATTGCCAGAAAACCTCATATCTGGTAATGGGGGAGAGCGAGTTCAATGGGAGATTGAGATGATATTAAGGGTGAAGAAGCAGCTTCACAGGGAGTGCAGATGAAGAACAGTCTGGAACAATGGGTTTTTTGTCTGAAAGGGAAGTGCAGAAACATAGCAGAGCAGCAGTGGTGGCTCTATTTGCATGCATACTTGGGGACTGTGTTGAGTATTAATGGACTTCCTGCAGATTTGTTTGGAATCTTTGTGTGCATTGGTGTTCGACAGTTTTACTTTTCAATACAAGTGGGTGTATGCAAATACACTTCGATGTTCTCCGTTGAAAATAGTGAAACCTGTGTGTGACCCCAGATTAAACTAACTTCCAGACATCAGAAAACAGAATAGATTTCTCCAAAAGAAGCCATTTGTTTTAGAACAAATGGCGAGAATATGGTAAAAACTGTTCCAGTTTGAGTTAGAGGACTCAGAAATGTGGGTATTGTGGGACAGGTGGGTAAGTCCAATTAGAAGAGAAGATGCCCCAGAGTGAGGCAGTTGTGAACTGTTTGGGGAAGATGCTGTAAACACAGATACTGTGTCAAATGATCCTCCTTTAAATAAACACACATTTCCTGTTGTCGGCACACGTGATTGTGGCCACTGCTCCTAATGGAGGTTTGCTGACATTTCCAGGCAATACAAATAAACTCTGTGGAGACGCAATTTTCCTCGGAAGAAAAAAAACCCTGCACAGTTTTAAACATGTTTGTCAAGTGAAATTTGTCATAATATCCCCCCCCAGAAACTGCCTTCCCACTTCATCTCTGTGGTCTGCTTTTGGGTTATTTCGAGTACATAATTGTGGCGTTTTGAGCACTGAGATAAAAAAGTTGTAAATTTTTTCATGCATAATAGCTGATTTAGAAAAAAAGAATACATCTTCTGTGTTTATGTCTTATGTACTGTACTCAGAGAATTTTGATATATTTAACCTGACAGATTATTACATCTCTCAAGCCCAATTGGATACAGGTACAAAGTATAAACTATCATTCAAAAAAACATAAAATATGAGCTGTAATTTCTTCGCATAATTTATAAACATAATCAAATTAATTATGATCAACTTACATGAATCAATCAAAAGATATCAAACTGAACAATTTTTAAATATTAAACTGGTAATGGCATCAATTTCAGTAACAGCATCAAATTTGAAACTCATATCTCAAACTCACCTAAAATGTTTTTGAAACAAATACCTTTTGACTGAGACAACATTACCGGTACCCCCTTGAGGGCTATGGTTTGGTTACATACCTACGACGCATATTTGTACTAATTCAATCTCATCTTCCTCTTTTGTTAAGCAAAAGAAAAAACTTTTTTTTGTTGTTTTTGCCTTTTTATATAGATGTTTTAAAATGTCTCCAGTAAGAGTCAAGCAGAACTGACATCAAATTCCTTGTTTGTGTGCACAAACTTTGCAAATAAAACTGATTGTGAATCCTTATTATTGGACATCTTAATGATAAACAGGAGTAAAAAAGCAAGAATAAAAAAAAAGGTTTATGCTGCAAATTTTAAGGATTTAATGTAGTCAGTGTGTTATTTATTTTACTACTAACATCTTGTGCCATTTTTACAAAATGACTAAACTTTCTTAACTACAGAAAGCAGAGAACAAAATCTTAATTTGATGACTAATTTTTCCAACTTTTTAGTCATTCTTCAAGTTGTTTTGTCTGCAGCAGGACTGTTTCAATTCGATATTTTCTTTGTTAGTGGTAAAAGCAGTTTTACTTTCATCTGAAGAAGTTTATGTAAATTAAAATGAACAATGCATATCCTGAAACACACTTATCAGTAACTTTTCAAATACAAAAACTTGATTAATTTACTTCCTGTAGTGAAACATATTAAGTTTTATTACACTAAATATTGTAATACAGCAAAACACCCTCAGTTGTGAGAACAGCATTTTTTTTTTTTTGCCTTTTGTCTCCCTTTCCTCCTGTGTTTATGGGTGTTGATGTGAACATTTGTGTCTGAACACTTGAACAATTCATGAAAAAAATGCCATGGTGAGTTTGTATATTAACACAAAGCATGACTGTTTAAATGACACATCCTCCAGCATGGTATACATAAAGCGTGTCCCAAAAACACATTGGCGTCCTACACGCACTCTATTGTGCCGGCTATTTGACAGCAGACCTGGGTCTCGCAAAACTGCACAGTGACAAAGTTGAATATATCCATCATCCTGACGTTTGTGTTTGGATGTGATTGTTTATCAGTGACACCAACTTTTTGAACACGGTGAC